TCGCCCGGCTAGTTTTTTGTATTTTTTAGTAGAGACGGGGTCTCACCGTGTTAGCCAGGATGGTCTCTATCTCCTGACCTCGTGATCCGCCCGTCTCGGCCTCCCAAAGTGCTGGGATTACAGGCTTGAGCCACCACGCCTGGCCTCTTTTATTCTTAAACATTTTCCTCTGCTCTTCTCCATTTCTCCACCAGACCCCTCATTGCTGCAAAAAATCCCAAGATTGCTGTCTCCAAGATGATGATGGTTTTGGGTGCAAAATGGCGGGAGTTCAGTACCAACAATCCCTTCAAAGGCAGTTCTGGGGCATCAGTGGCAGCTGCGGCAGCAGCAGCGGTGGCTGTGGTGGAGAGCATGGTGACAGCCACTGAGGTTGCACCACCGCCTCCCCCTGTGGAGGTGCCTATCCGCAAGGCCAAGACCAAGGAGGGCAAAGGTGAAATGGGGTTCAAATGGGAGTGGGGATGTCTAGTGTGGGCTTGAGATGTCAAAGACAGAGCATGGGAATGGTGTTCTGTCAGCCCTAAGGTAGGAGATGGGAGGGAGGAGTGAGTCTTGAATTTTGGAGGGAAGTTTGGGCATCTGAATGTGGGGAAGATCTTTTCCCATCTTTGGTGATGTGGTATTTTATATATTTGGATGTATCCTGATTTTAGGTCCCAATGCTCGGAGGAAGCCCAAGGGCAGCCCTCGTGTACCCGATGCCAAGAAGCCTAAACCCAAGAAAGTAGCTCCCCTGAAAATCAAGCTGGGAGGTTTTGGTTCCAAGCGTAAGAGATCCTCGGTGAGAGCCCAGCCCATCACTTTACGGAGAGTTCCATGTATACTAGAAAGGATGTGACCTTATATCAGGACCTGTCCTTCATAGTAGGCACATAAGAATGTGGGGAGTTGCCCACAGAACAGGATGAGACTCGGCTCCCTGTATAACAGTGCTTGCTGGGATTCTGGTATCCTCAGTGAGAGAGCACTCCCTTGTCTGCCACTCTTTCCTTCCCCTTGGCTTGAATGTCTAACCTTATTCTTTTTCATCCTGTCAGAGTGAGGATGATGACTTAGATGTGGAATCTGACTTCGATGATGCCAGTATCAATAGCTATTCTGTTTCTGATGGTTCCACCAGCCGTAGTAGCCGCAGCCGCAAGAAACTCCGAACCACTAAAAAGAAAAAGAAAGGTGTGTTTCTCTTCTGTATATTTGTGATGGGATGAGGTGGGAGTGATTGGGGAAGAATCTCCCTAAGGAGATAGGGGTTGGGGGTGGGGGGAGGTAGTTTTTTTCTAATAACTGGGCTTTCCCTCTTCCTTGCCCAGGCGAGGAGGAGGTGACTGCTGTGGATGGTTATGAGACAGACCACCAGGACTATTGCGAGGTGTGCCAGCAAGGCGGTGAGATCATCCTGTGTGATACCTGTCCCCGAGCTTACCACATGGTTTGCCTGGATCCTGACATGGAGAAGGCTCCTGAGGGCAAGTGGAGCTGCCCACACTGCGTGAGTGTCTGGCCATTGTGGCCCCTTGGAACTGATGAGAAGAAGGGTGGGACAGTAAAGCTCTTTGGGGCCTGGATGGAAATGGAAATGCTGGTGCTGCGGGTTGTGAGCTTTGGGAAGCATTCAAAGGAATGATGGGTACTGGCTTCAGACTTCGGTGGGTGGGTGGGGGTAATAATCTGAATCTGTGGTCGTTTACTGCAGGAGAAGGAAGGCATCCAGTGGGAAGCTAAAGAGGACAATTCGGAGGGTGAGGAGATCCTGGAAGAGGTTGGGGGAGACCTCGAAGAGGAGGATGACCACCATATGGAATTCTGTCGGGTCTGCAAGGATGGTGGGGAGCTGCTCTGCTGTGATACCTGTCCTTCTTCCTACCATATCCACTGCCTGAATCCCCCACTTCCAGAGATCCCCAACGGTGAATGGCTCTGTCCCCGTTGTACGGTGAGTGACTGATCTCAGCCAGGGCAAAAGATGTGGAAAGTGTAGTCTTTTCTATGTAGGGTATTGTGAAGCTGGGGTGCGGGAGAGGAACTGTGAGCTTTTCAACCCTGAGAAAGGTATTTTCCTTTGTCCTATAGTGTTGGGATACTTTTGTCCTGGGAAAATGTAGGACTGACTTCAAACAGAGGAGCTGATGTTTGCCAGCTCTCTGAAGAGGAGATGAAGCAATGTTCTTCTAGCTGAGAACATGTGTCTCTGTGTTGACACCCTGCCTCAGGGTCTTGGTAGCTTACAGTGTTTTTAATTTTTTTGTTAAAAAACTTTTTTTTTGGAGACAGGGTCTCACTCTGTCATCTAGGCTAGAGTGCAGTGGTGCAGTCATAGCTCATTGCAACCTCCAGCTCTTGAGCTCAAGTGATCCTCCTATCTCAGCCTCTTGCTGAGTAGCTAGGAGTACTGGTGCATGCCACCACATCCAGCTAATTAAAAAAAAAAAAAAATCTTTGTAGAGACAGGGTCTTACTATGTTGTCTAGGCTGGTCTTGAACTCCTGCTCTGAAACTATTCTGTTCCCTTGTCCTCCCTAAGTGCTGGCATTACAGGTGTGTACCACCGTGCCAGCCAGTTTAGAATGTTTAATAGGGCCACTTACTGCTTTTAGATTGCTTAAGGGAGGAATTCTGTGCTTTAAGTCTGTTGATTTCCTGATTCTTTTGGCTGCTTATTGAAGTCTTAACTACTGGTTTTGTTAAGCAGATAGGAATGATAGTGGCACGGAAATCCTGGATGATGTCCAGAAATGGAGAGAGAATTGTATCACAGGTTAGGATTAGATAGGTATCTAACCCAGAAGTGGGAAATCCAAAATACTTCTGGTCCCAAGCATTTCACATGAGGGGTCCTCAACCTGTATTCTCTCCCTGGAGGAGTCCTGGGATTAGATTTTATTTGAAATGAGATCTTTTTTTTTTTTTGAGACGGAGTCTCTCTCTGTCCTGTCCCCTAGGCTAGAATGCAGTGGGGCAATCTTGGCTCACTACAACCTCTGCCTCCCAGGTTCAAGTGATTCTCCTGCCTCAGCCCTCCGAGTAGCTGGAACTACAGGCGCGTGCCACAGTGCCCAGCTAATTTTTGTATTTTTAGTAGAGACGGGGTTTCACCATTTTAGCTAGGATGGTCTCGATCTCTTGACCTCGTGATCTGCCCGCCTCGGCCTCCCGAAGTGCTGGGATTACAGGCATGAGCCACTGCTCCAGGCCTGAAATGAGATATTAATTGTCCTTTGATAAAGTTGAGACTGTGGGCTGTCCCTTCTCCCATGGTTATGATTTGAGATTAAGTTGTCTCTTTTTCCCTCAGTGTCCAGCTCTGAAGGGCAAAGTGCAGAAGATCCTAATCTGGAAGTGGGGTCAGCCACCATCTCCCACACCAGTGCCTCGGCCTCCAGATGCTGATCCCAATACGCCCTCCCCAAAGCCCTTGGAGGGGCGGCCAGAGCGGCAGTTCTTTGTGAAATGGCAAGGCATGTCTTACTGGCACTGCTCCTGGGTTTCTGAACTGCAGGTAAGTTGAGAATAGGCTGGAGATGTAGGGGCTACGATGAATAGGATAGTGATGAAAGAGCCTTGTGGATAGAAAGAATGAACACAGCTTTTTGGTGGCTGATTTTCTCTTTCCGCTCCAAGCTGGAGCTGCACTGTCAGGTGATGTTCCGAAACTATCAGCGGAAGAATGATATGGATGAGCCACCTTCTGGGGACTTTGGTGGTGATGAAGAAAAAAGCCGAAAACGAAAAAACAAGGACCCTAAATTTGCAGAGATGGAGGAACGCTTCTATCGCTATGGGATAAAACCTGAGTGGATGATGATCCACCGAATCCTCAACCACAGGTACCAGCTGGGCACATGGGAGATAGGCAGTCTCCATGGGAGATTCCCGCTGAAGGGATTGGGAAAATGGATGTCACTGGCAACTTAGATTTGGAAGACACTGGTTTTTTTTTTTGAGACAGAGTCTCAGTCGTCCAGGCTGGAGTGCAGTGGTGTGATCTCGGCTCAATGCAACCTCTGCCTCCCAGGTACAAGTGATTCTCCTGCCTCAGCCTCCTGAGAAGCTGGGACTACAGGCGCGAGCCACCACGCCCAGCTAATTTTTTGTATTTTTAGTAGAAACGGGGTTTCACCATGTTGGCCAGGATGGTCTGGATCTCTTGACCTCAGGTGAAAGTGCTGGGATTACAGGCGTGAGCCACCATACTTGGTTGTTTGTTTTTTTGAGATGGAGTCTTGCTCTGTTACCCAGGCGGGAGTGTAGTGGTGCAACCTTGGCTTGCTGCAACCTTGGTCTCCTGGGCTCACGTGAATCTCCTGCTTCAGCCTCCCTAGTAACTAGGCATAGGCACCTGCCACCATACCCAGCTAATTTTTGTACTCTTAATAGAGACAGGGTTTCACTATGTTGGCCAGACTGGTCTTGAACTCCTAACCTCAGGTGATCTGCCTGCCTTGGCCTCCCTAAGTTCTGGGATTAACACGCATGAGCCACCATGCTTTATTTTGAGACAAAGTCTAGCTCTGTTGCCCAGGTTTGAGTGCAGTGTCGTGATCACTGCTCACAGCAGTCCCAAACTCCTGGGCTCAAGCAAGCTACCTGCCTCAGTTTCCCAAAACGTTGGGATTACAGGCGGGAGCTACTGCACCTGACACTTTATGTTATTTATTTATTTATTT